CTGTGTCTGTGTCTGTGTGTGCGTGCATGTTTGTCATGGGTGTGTGCGCGTGTGTATGGGCAACTTTGTTTTCGTGGTCGGTGGATTCCGGTGAATGCTATTCAGTTCAGCCACTGTGCCAGCAAGGCAGTATGACATTGCTTCTGAAACAAGAACTTCTCTCCTATGCTGCGGCTCTCCTTGTCTTGAAAGGGCTCGAGGCAAAGCATCATTTGGTGCATCAGACCGTAAGCCGGGGCAGAGGTTCGTCTGTGGCAGCGGTGTCGTCAGAGCTTCGTAGAAAAGTCAATGGAGATTTGCACCGTGATGAGTTTCAGCGAGACCTTCCGCAACCGATGGAAAGTTTGGGGGAGCTCACATCAATGCCGTGGCGAACACGAGCAGAACTGGTAGAAATCGTAAGTTCTCAGTGCTATCGCTCGCTGCACGATGACTTGACAGCGCAGGCCGCTTTCTTGAAGAGATACAGGCAGTTCTTGAGAAGTAAACAGACAGTGCAACGAGGCTTTGATTTTGCCCTCAAGCAACAACATCTGGCGGCTCTGCTTTCGGAGGGGCAGTATTATGCGCTGCCAGCCCAGGGCCACCATGAGACCAGCAGCAGCAGCAACATCGTTTGCGAAGGTTACGACATTTTCCAGGTGCTCTCGCTGAACCCGGGCCGACGTCAGTACATTCAGCGTGCGGCCCACATGGCTTCAGATGCTGCCAAGCTGCATAGCGTCTGTCCAAAAGCTGAAACTGAAAAAAACAGAGCTAGATGCTGCAAACTAGGTTTGGTCCGATGCCTTGGCGGTGCGAGTCCTGGGGCGAGTGGATGCTGTTGACGTTGGTTTTCGACACGAAGTGGACCCTAACATTGCCACAGTGGAGCCATTCTCCATTGAAAGTTTCTTCTCCAACGACAGAATCGACAGTTTGATGCATTTCACGCAGGCAACGTGTCCTAAGTTAAAAGGGTGTTGTGGCCTCTATTTAGCTAGTGTTTGTACAGCGCAAACTCAGTGGAACACATGTCTCCTGCAGGTGACGACGCGTCCGGCTTTTTCCCAACACAGTTTGCAGGATGCAATCGCTGCGATACAGGATAGCTTCTTGGCAGCATGGTGTGTGTCACTTCAGTAGCACTTCGTTGACTCACTGCTTCATTGATTGACATTAACTGTGAACGGATTGGTTGGTTGATTGGTTCGGTAGTTACCGGTAGTTGACTTTTCCAGTTCTCGGGGTGCTGAGGCGCAAGCCCGAACCAATCCGAACAAAACTGGACTCGAAACCTGTTGGCAGCGCGTCTTTTCTTGATGCCCTCTACCCCTATTTATATGCTGTTGGCAGCGTGACTTTTCATGCTCTCCAAGAGTTTTCCAGATTCTGTCTGCCATGCCCGCAGGTGAGAGCATGGAAAGCAGTGTCCATGAACAGAACTTTCCAGCACTGCTGGATGCTGTGCATCGGATTGCGGAAGAGGCCATCGAGAGCGAAACCTTGCAACTCCGCCCGACTTCACCTCTTGACAGGGCGGCGGTGCGTTGGCTGTCGGACGAGGCCGAGCTCGCCGATGGGAAGATGCTGCTTCCTGCTGCTGTGACAACTCTGACCGTGCTGTCACATCCCTCTGCGTCTCAAAATGCAGACACGGCCTTTGGCAAGCGGCAGTGTCTGCTCGCAACAGGTTGGACTATAGCCCCGTCTGGACGACATGCGTCTGCAAAGCAGAAATGCTTGCACGGCTCGCAAGCTGAATCATACTATGGCCTGCTGCTGAACTTCCTGAGCTGGGTCGTGCAGCACGAAGAGGCCGGATGGTTCTCGCACAGCCAGGACAATCATTACTACCGCACGTTGCTTGTGGCATTTCAAGCCCGGGAAGAAGGGCCGGTGCCGTGGCGAAGGAGTGTCATTGCTTCTCTGTTGTACCATAACCAGTAAGCTTGACATGAGGATGGGCAGTCGTTTCTTTTGGAGTGCTGCAGGTCGACATATGCCACGTGCCACTCAGTATGAAGGTGGATTTCTACACCAGGTTGCAGTCTTTCCTGACAGGTGCCTATGCTTGCAGCCAATTGCAGAGACCAGATTGCTAATGAAAATATTTTTTGGCCTCCGTTGAGACACTATTGTGTTCCAGTCAAACATTGTAACGCTCAGGACGATTGCAAGATGACCCCCGGAGTGAACTGGAGACGCGAGAGCCTCGTGGGAAGAGGAGACCTGCGGCCGCTGCACCCGACAGCAAACCTAGAACAAAGAGCAAGCAACCCAAGAAGCTTTCGACTGCAGAAATCATTGACGTGGGATCCGCGTCCGACGCTGGCAGTGACTGCATGGTTGTTGAAATCGAAAATCTGGGGCCGCCGGCGGGAGCCGCACAGGTTCCGAACGCTTGGCCAGCACGTGTCCAGCAGGGACTGGGGAGATGTTTTGCAGCAGACTCCGTGCAAGAGTTTGCGCCCGAAGAGCAAGAGCAGGCTTCCATGTTCCAAATACGGGCTTGTTGGGGGACCATTAGAGTCGATCTGTGGGCTGCCCGGCTGCTATGCTCGAAGTCACTAGCAGTTCACTAGCAGTTGCGTGGGGCGTGGGACAGGAGTTGCTGGACTCGGACATGCTGCAGGGTGTCGTTGACAGAGGCAGCGATGTCGCAGACGCAGTTCCTGGTGTGGCCCTACACGAATTCGAAGAGATTCCGGCTGGTCACGCGGGGGACGCGGCAGCTGCCCCTGTCGCTCTGCCTGCACCTCCGGAAGATTTTTCTGCTCGCAGTCCGGGTCTGAGATTCAGCAAACATGTCCGAAACAGACTTTACTTTACTGTGTTCCATCGAGCAGTAGAGTTGGATAGAGCCCGCGCACGCTAAGTTCGTGACGTCGTTGAAGCGGTCACTCCGCTGGCCATGCAGCACCACCGAAACCGGGACGCCGCCGAGCTAATCCTCAAGCATGCAATTCCGGCACTGTGTCAGAGTCTGTTGGAAGATCCCGGTGCACGGATGCACGCAGATGCTCACATTAATCGAGCCCTGGATCGTGCCTTCCTTATTTGATAGCTCGAGACTGTCAGAGGGTGCGTTGGATGTTCTGGAGAATGTCTGGCTGCGAGACTTGTTCAGGTGTCGATCGAGACGGACATCGGTTTTGGGGTTCACTCTATACGTACTCGAGGCTACGGGATCCTTGAAAGCTGCAAAAGCACATTGTCACCGTTTGCAAGCTCTCATGCAATGCTGCAGGAGGCGAACGGTTCGGGACGTCATGCTTTTGACCTATCATGATCGAGTCGCGGAGCTAGTTCGGCGAGATGTTGTGTGAGCTCGTAGGATTGCCTTCAATGACATTAGGCCTAGATTGCCTGTCGCTCCGTGTACATACTTGCACATCACAGCAAGCTTCAGCGCGAAACCACTCAATTGTGAACCCAGCATCACCTCCTGTGCAAGCCCTCTGTGGTGTAGCTTCTTGCCGGCGTTTGCACCTTTTGGCAGGAATGCAGCATCGCCCTTTTTGGATCTTTTTGGCCGGAATGGAGCATCGCAATATCGCCGCGCATCAGTGCAACGCAGAACTAAACCAACAACTTCGGTTTGCAAACTTGCAGAACACCTCGGCTTGAACATGTTCGTTTTGCTAGATGTTGAATGAACCCAGCCGTGCGACAGTAGACATGGTTGATGCGGAAGACGAGACAACATGCCCCGACGGCAGCTTCAATTTCGCCGACCTGGTATCGCAGAGCAGCAAATCCAGCCCCAGCCAGCTGAAGAGAAAGGTTCCGAGCCGGCTTCCCGCCGATGCTTCCCGGCCTCGTTCCAGTGCGCGGGCCGCCGAAAGCTCGAATCAGTTTGTGATTCAAGCTGATGCTTGCGCTGGCTTCAATCTGGCAAGCGTAGCTGTAGCCCCCCAAGAGATGAAAGAGGAACAGCCCACGAAGCAAACAACAGCCAAGCGACCCAACAAAACAAGGCTGCAGCAAGGCTCTGCAGAGGTGTGCGGCACTGCATGCTGGTCCACTGAAGTTCCCAGCTCGCTCCCATCAGTGTTTGGATGGAATGCTCACTTCGCAGACAGGATTCGCAGCGCCGGTCTTGTGCACGACAGCTGCCCTTCTTCGGCAGAGTTGGAGGGATTTTTCGAATTTGCAGGCGCAGGTGCTGCAGAGACCGCTGCCCTAGCTTTGTCTGCTCCCAGCTTGTCCCAGAGAGTGAAAATCACGATCAGATGTCAATCTGATTGGAGCCCCATGAAGAGGCAGGCGCTAAGCCAAAACTGCAGTACTTCCTGCATATTTGGTGATATCATGAATTTGGTCGACGATCAAGTCTTCAACGACGAGACAGATTTGGTTGAAGTGACAACGCAGGAACTGCTTTCAGCAATCGGCCTCAGGAGGTGTTACCTCCGCGAAAGCAATGATGCCGGGGTTGACACTAGCCCATCGACCTCAAGCTCCGATTCCTCCAGCTCTTCATCGACGACTTCGGAATCGGATACCTTTATGTCCAGGTCCGTGTCTTCCACAGATAATGTAAACAGTCCGTGCATCGATGCTGGCGACTTGCAAGCCCGACTTGCGGGTTTGTTTGACAAGGATGGTCGATTAAGTCGTGCGCTCGGCAGCATCCAGGCTGGATGGAAGGTGACATGCGGCCCTGATGGCGCCAGTTTCGAGCAGGCTGCGCATGAGCTTCTTTACTCGAGGCACAGTTGCAAGTTGGCATTGGAAGTGCAGAGAAAGATTCCTAGTTGCAATTGGTGTCCGCCCGCAGTCGTGAGGGTTGTTATTTATCATCGCTGTCACCAGATACCACCTCCGCCGTCATGACTCCAAAGCCATAATCTAATCGAGTTTTTCGGGTGGGGGGGAGGGGTGTGCCGGGGGAGGTGCGGTAGTGGCGCGTGGAAGTGGTGTGATGGGCGGGTGGGTGGTCCGAGCGCGGTTTTTGTCTTGGACCACGCTGGCTGCCTTCGCCGCCGCGGATAACGCTCTGGGTGCTTCCCGCAAACCCACGTTTTTTGTAGAGCAGCCCCGCTGCTCCGTCCAGGAACGCGGGGGCTGGTTGCACTTGGGATTTCCGGGCCCCTGTCAGAAATTCTGGAAGACTTTAAATGACTTTAAGTTTAAACAGTGTCCCAAAAGCTTCGGACAAGGTGGGGGGCAGTGGTTTAAAACAACACACCCACGACGCCTCAGAAGACCACCCCCACCAGAACACAGAGAAAGACCACATCCACCACGAAAACCACACACTCCACACGACAAAAGCCGCATCACCACCCAAAAAGTTCAAAGCGTACATCTCAACTTAAGTTGTTCGTGTCCCAAACAGCACTATGGTATAGCATGGGTCTGGGCGCCTTTTGGCTTTCCTGGGGTGAACCACCATACATTGCACCGTTTTGTTTTGCTCTACAAAGGGGTCTAGGGGTTTCGGGGTTGAGGGGTCTATAGGGTTTTAGGGTTATAGGGGTTTTGGATTTAGGGGTTTAGGGTTTAGAGATCGGGGCTTTAGGATTTCAGGGTTAGGGCTTAGGGGTGTAGGTCCAGGGTTGATAGCACAGAGGCGTTTTGGTTTTCAGGAGTTACGGCTACGGTTTGCCTGACCACGTGGGTGGGGGCTGGGGTGAGGGGCTCGGGTTGGGGGCGGGCGGCCGGGCCGGGTGGTTTGGGGGGGTTTAGGCTTGCAGCCCCCCCCTTTCCCCCCCACCGCCACTGATCCTGGTTTCCCGGTTTGGGGCACCCAAACCGCCCATGCCCCAGCCCGGTGGGCCGCGCCGGGAGGCTGGAAGGGAGGACGAGGCTGCGGTGGCAATTTCGAAGGTCCGAGCCGTGTTGGTCGGACCGCGGTGCTTCCTGGCTGTTTTCTGCCCACCAGTTCCGCATAGTTCCGCATAGTTCCGCATAAGTTCCGCATAAGTTCCGCATAGCCGCCGGCTTATTGCAGCCCCAAACCAGAGTTCCGCATATATGCGGAACTTGCAACAGCTAAACAAGAGGGAGTTCCGCATATATGCGGAACTTGTTTTGTTTATGCAGAACCACTTCTGCATAGACCCAGCGTCTATGCAGAACTTATGCGGAACTATGCGGAACTGGTGGGCAGAAAGCAGCCAAGAACCGCCAATTTCAGCACTGAAGCACCGCGGTCCCACCAAAACAGCTCGCAGCTTAATCCTCGGCCCGGCGCCGCGCCGGGCCCGATTGGCGGGGTCGGGGCCGGGGTTGGGGCCTGGTGGGGCCGGGGGGTTGGCCGGGGCCGGGACGGCGGGGTGGGGGCAGGACAAGGCCAGCCAGCAGGATTTTTTTGGATTTGCGGTGGTGCCTGTATTGCTTGCTTGTCCACCCCGCCTTCCAACCCTCCACCCTCCCCCTGGGGGCTTGGGGTTGAGGTATCAGACAAGTAAGACGAAAGTGAGACAGAAATGAACATGATTTGTGTTTTCGGCTGGGTTAGGGTTGAGCTGTATGACAAATTAAAATCAGACAAAAGTACGACGGAAATGAACTTGGTTTTTTGCGGGATATAGGGTTGAGGTATAGGAAAAATAAGACGAAAGTAAGACAGAAATGGGCATAGTTTTCTGGGGTTTAGGCTTGCGAACATTGGCTCCCACGTTTACCCCAATCTTGTTCGACATGTATGTGTTGCGAGAGATTCAAACA